CTAGTGTAGCCATAACTGTATTAAAATAAAAATACTGATAATTTGTTATAAATAGGCACTGAGACATACCCTGAGAAGGTAGTCACCTCACTGATGGTGCATGTCTAGAATCTCAGCTATCCAGGAAGTTATGGCATGATGATTTCAAGTTTGAAGCTAGCCTGGGCAACTTGGTGAGACCTTGTCTCAAATAAAAAAATAAAATAAAATAAAGGGGGTAAAGGGTAGCTTGATAATCCTTGGGTTTAATCTCTGGTATTGCATAAATACTGAATAAATAAAGAAATCACCTAAACATTTACACTTGTTACTTATTATCTCATATTGAAGTATTTCATTCTCTACACTACCTATGATTTTGTAATATTTGAGCTTCAGTTTTCAATAAAGATCTACTGAACAGCGTAGCTGAAAATAATAGGGCCCATTCAGTAAATTGAAGAAATACAAATATTATAGCAAAGCAGAAAGTGATCTTCCCTTCATCTGCTTTCTTGTTTGGAGAAAGCTAAGCTCACAGAATATCCAGCCGTATAGGGTGAACCATGGTGTCGCGGTAAACTCATGCTATAATTTATAACAACATATAGTATGGGTGGATCTTTTTCAGGGGTTTCCAGGTTGGTAAGTTACCTGTAGGGACCCAAATTATTTACTGGGTCTTGCTGTTGCCTATTTGTATTGCAATAAAAGAGAAGTAAAAACTATAGGAATCTTCTTACTTTAAGAAGAAATTTACGTAGTCAAGCTAACTTTAACACATAGACTGTCTTCTTGGTAAGATAGACACACATTCAGAAAGTGTTGTAATTTATATAAGGGCTTACTTTAAAAACCCCATTTAATTGTCTCACAGTGAATATTGAAATCAAAATTTGTAAGTTAATGTTTTTCTGAGCTAATTTTTTATGTTTATTTATTTTTTGATTTTTGGGGAACAGGGGATTGGACTCAGGTCCTCGCACTTGCCAGGCAAGTGTTTATTCTACTGAGCTATCTCCCTGGCCCCCTAAGCTAATTTTTAAATTTTTCTTGATTCTACCTAGATTTCTAGCCCTCTAAGATGACTGAGTTTGAATCTATACTAACTAATGCTCCCATCATTTTGTCAATGAAAAATCCAGAGCTACTTCCTTTATTTTCTATTTAGTATTATATCAGAAATAGTTTTTAAAATTCGGAATCAAGGGCAGAACAAAGTCAGATTTTACTCAAGATTTCTCTCCAGGTGGTTAATAATAGGTCAGTACCTTTGTGTATGATTGTTCAACCTGCTTCCAATCCACTTGGCATGGTATAGTTATCTGCATTTCCTTATTCCTCTGAAATTACCAAGTTTTCATTTCTGATCAGATCTTCTTGGTAAACTAACTTAGACACAGACCATAAGAGCCAGCTCCATGTACTTCCTGACCGATTCTCCTGACTTAGTAGATAAGACCAAAAGTGAACACAGGATGGAGACTGGACCAGTCAGACTCTCTTTCTCAAATCTGCCATAGAGGCACTGAGCCTGATTCCATTCACTGGAGGGTGACCAAGGCAAAGGTCATGCCCCTTAGTGCTAAGACCACTATCACAGGGCCTCCATGATGGGCTGTGTACAAGAAAAAGGATGAGCTGTGAGGAGGAGAAAACGAAATACATTATACAATCTGACAAAAATAAATTTGAGGCAAGAAAGAGGGCAAAGGATGAAGACAGTAGTTCCCTTAAAATGAAACTTTATAATCTGTACTTTGTAGCTTAAAAATAAACCCCTTTTGGCTTAAGCAAATATTGTGAGCTTTGTTTTCTCTCCCAAATTATGTGCTGAAGCTCTAATCTCCACTATGTCAAAATGTGCCTGCTTTTGCTGGTAGACCACTTGAAGATGTGGTTAAATTAAAATGAGACCCTAATCAAGTCTTATCAGTGTTGTTATTTCATTTTTTTTCTATGCACTTAGTACAGGGTCTGCAGGGTCTCACTACGTAGATCAGACTCGTAGTGAACCTCCTGTTTTCAGCCTCCCAAGTGCTGGGATTACAGGTGCATGCCACCATGCCATCTTTTTTTATTTCATATATTTTATTGTTAAAAAAAGAGAATATTAGACGCACAAAGAGACAATAGGCACATGCGTATACACTGGAAAGACTACGAAAATACAGTGAAAACCGACTGCCCCTGCTCCTCGATTTTGAGGCAGGGTCTCTCAAAGCTGCCTGGAATCCCTGTGGACTTCCTGCCTCGGCCTCCGAAGCCTGGCCTTCCAGATATGTGCCCCCCTCATTCTGCCTTTTTGGTCCTGGGGCTTAAACCCAGGGTCTTATTTGTGCTAAGCAAGTGCCCCGCCACTGAGCAAGGCCCCAGCCATGACCTGGTTATTTGAAGTGAGTGCATCCAGAACTGGGGATTGAACTCAGATCCTTGCCTTTGCCAGGGAAGCAAACTTCTACTGAGCCATCTCCCTGGCCCTGTGAAAATAATCTTGCCCAAAGAAATGCAAATACCCTGTCTGGTGGAATGCAATTTCTTATTTCCCTGAGATGAAGAATCATCATTCTGCCTTAAGACCACCTTCCCACCCAGGAAGTAGAAGTCCGAGTGTCAGCTTTGTCTGCTCCAAGGATCAGCAGGTGCATTAGCTGCTGAAACACGGAAGACAGTACAGAGAAAAGGCCCTGGAGAATGAGGGGCCTGGAGTGAAAATAGCCTTGAACTGTTGCCCCTCAGCACACCACCATGCCTTGGAGCCAGCTGATTATGACTGAAATCTCCACGAACTGTGAGATAAATAAGCCTTTCCTTCCTTAATTTTGGGTGTTGAGTAATTTTGTCTCAGCAAAGAATAAAAAATAAACAAGACAGAATTTGGTACAAGAAGTGGGGTCATTGTTGTGACCGTACCTGACTATGTGGTTCACACAGCTTTGTGAATGGCCTGTGGGAAGAATTTGGAAAGGTTCAGAGATGTTGCCTGAGATCAGAGCTGAAGTGCCTGAGGGTGTTCTGTTTGGGAGAGTTTTGTCAGAGCTCAACAAAACAGAAGGCTGATAGAAATCCTGCTGGTAAAGACCAAGGGGGGGAAGGGAGGTGGTCAGAAAAGGACTGCATCAGCTGTTGGACTCCAGACAATGTATGTTATGGCCTGGCAAAAAGTTTGTGTACCTTTTGTTCATACCCAGCGATTTTAAGTGAGACTAAGATTAAGAGCAACAGACTAATGAGAAGAAATTTCAAGGCAGTTTAATTCTTGTTTGTTTGTTTTCTTTGTCTTTTTTGAGACAGGGTCTTGCTATACAGTTCAGGCTGGTCTTGAGCTCACTTTGTTGCCCAGGTTGTCTCAAACTTGCCACAATCCTCCTGACTCAGCCTACCGTGTTCTGGGATAAAAGGTGTGTGCCACCACACCTGACAAGACAGTTGAATGTTAAAGCAGTGGCATGGCTATTATTGGGGGCTTTTAGTCAGATTTATGTTTATTTATTTATTTTTTTAATGGTGTGAAGGGCCAGGAAGATGGCTCAGTAGAATAAGTGCTTGCCTGGTCCTGAGTTCAATCCCCAGTATCACAAAATAAGTAAATAAATTAATTAATTGACACGGTAATTGGAGACTGGGCACGGTGGCGTGTGCCTATAATCTCAGCTCTTGGGAGGCTGTAAGCAAGAAGATCACTTGGAGTCTGATCTAGTAGTGAGACCTTGAATACCCTGTAGACCCTTCCCTAAAATAAAATAAGAAAAAATAAAATGTGAATCTGGCCAGAAAGGAAGCTGCAATAAAGCTACAGACTGCAATGATAGAGCTGAAAACAAAACTCAATTGCTGAAAAGGAACAAAAAAAATAAAAAATAGAGAAGATGGCTTGGGCTGGGGAAATTGCTCAGTAGAATAAGTGCTTGCCTGGCAAGCGCAGGATCCTAAATTCAATCCCCAGTACTG